AAGTCAATAACAGTACCTGGTATGGGAAACCATGTTGTTAAATTGTTTTTAAATTACTTTTAACAGTTATGGACCCTGAAAAGCAGAATTATTATGAAACACAAGGGATTCTCTTTCAATTATATTAGTCTTCTTAGTATCTGAATCAACTATTCAGATTGTCCTTTCTTAAAAATAGCAAAAATAATTTTTAAAAACAATCTTTTCCTTTTAGAAGTTTATATCTGATTTTATCAACATAAATTCAAAATAATTACATCAACCTAATACTAATCACACCTAATGTTAGTTTAATTTATGGTTATGCTTTACACATTTCAGACGCCCCTGGCCACGTATTGTGAAGGTATGGGGTTTTTTTTTGTCATTAGAGTATGTATAAGATCGACAGCTTGTTTTTAGCAGCAGCATTTTCTCTTCCTTCCTGATTAATAGGACTTTAGACCAAACACCTTTCAAAGAACTCATTTATTTTTACAGCGTGTTAGAAAGAAAGATGTGAAACATTATCTGCATTATAGATAAGAAAAAGGCATCCGTAGACTCACTTTTGTTTTTTTGTGTGTGTTTATATTTTATTTTTTAAATTGTTTTTGGAAAAATTCCAAGATAATTTATGTAGAGAATACTATACATGAACCTATTTGTATCCTCATGGTTGCCTCACCTTAGAATCATTTTGTGTGAAATCTTAAGACCATTTTATTTTCCTTGTAAGTATTCCAGTTGTCACACTTAAAAAATGTATAGTTTATATAATCAGATATAATTACTGTAGCATCAAAAATCCAGGCAGTGTTTAAATTTCTCAGTCTCATAATTTTTGTTAGATTTTTGAATCAGAATCTGAATAAGGGCCATGCGTGCTGGTGATTGATAGGTCTTTTATAAATCTGTTGGCTTCTGTTCACACAAACACTCAGAAACACAGGGTCACTCAATTTGTTACGGAAATTGGGTCATTTATCCTATAGGGTTTTTCATGGTATGGATTTTACTGATGGAATCTTTAGGTTATCTTTTTTCTTGTATTTCTGGATCATGTTTGTTTGTGGGTTAGTTAGATACATTTTAGGGAGAGTTGTTTACTTTTATCAGGAGGCGTATAATTTGTCTGGGTACTCAGCTCATCTCAACATCCACCAATGAGCATTGTTTAGACCTTTTATTAGGGACTGCAAACTGATAATAGTTTAACATTCTTTTTTCATTTATTAGCTGGGATGCCTCTAATTCATCAGTTATTTGTTTATCCTGAGGTATAATTCTCATAGGGAAGGCAGGATAGTGCTTGATTTTTTTTGCCTTTTTATGTTACCAAAACGATGAGATACTTTCCTAGAATCCTTCAAAAGTGACCAATGAGTTAGTTTTTAAGTATCATTATGAATTAGTATACTTAAAGACATGTTTTTTATCATTCTTATTCTATTATGATTGTTATTCTTATCAGTGTTTTAATTGACCCATATCTGGGGGCCTCTTCAAGTTGGCTTTTGAATCCTTCTGTTACCACCTTAATCTTTGTTTTCTGATAGGACAAAATGTTTCAGAATCATTTCATACATTTCCTGACCCAGACTGGGAATGAGCCATTTCTCTACGAGCTCTGATTGCTTTTGTAGGAAAGAGTAGAGACCATAATCCGGTTGCAGTAGCAGACTTAAAGGTCATATTACCCAAGGTAAAATAGCAATTTATAAATCTAGTCATGATACAGCAATTTTCCATTTACACAAATGAAGAAGTGGAAGTATGGTTTTAATTCAAAATAACAGGAAACCTAACTGAAACTTTGCTTTGACTTCAGAGTTTATTACGTTTTGTTACAAAATTGACTTCTCAGATAGTTTTCAGTGATGTCCCTTGGCCTTCTCTGGGTAATGCTACTCTCTCATGCCGTCAAAAGTTACAATTCAGTGTGTGCTGACTGACAAAAAGCAAACCCAGCTACAGGTGAAATTTTCACAGTAAATAATTGCAAATTCATTTGCAAAGCAATAAAACTTATAAAGCCTCCCAGATCAGCTAAAAGGTTTTGGATTAGCAAAGCAAAACGGGAAAGTTGGCCTTGTATAAAACACTTCTCTCATATAACGTATATTTCCTCACTTATAAATTGAAGAGCTGGATTAGAGATTATTTCTAGCATCTGAGTCTATCAATACAAAATTTTTGATCATTGTATTTGATTTTTTTTCTGTCTCATTTATTCTTAAAATTTTCTTTAGCTACTTAATGCTAGGTAATATTTTAGAGGTTAGAAACACAGGGAAGAGAAATCCCCAGATTCCTTGCCTTTATACTCTGGTAAAAGGAGACAATTCTCTCATCTATACATAATGTGAGCTTATAATGATAATGGCCCTAAAATTCAGCTCAGTGTTTTCTAATCACTTCCTTTTTTTGAGAGGAACATCCATATTGATATAAAAATTAATATAGCTTTTCCATAACAAGGCCAGTATATATGAACTTTGTGACACGCTGAGAAATTTGGTGTTAGTCACTTTTGCTTTGACATGCAATTTTTTATTTAAAAATTTCTTGCTTAAATTATTTTGGATTACAGACTATAGCAGTTAAATTCTGCATTTGATTTGTACTTTTAAAAAACCTCTCATGTTATGAAAATGTAGATGCCTAATAGAATTAATGGAGTATATATGGTATTATTTAATAAGGATATGAAAGATTCAGTTTATCCTATTTTCTACATAGTGGTTTCATTTGAAATAATACCCTTGATGAAAATATACATATTCATCTATTTTAAAAAATCACATTTTCCTCGCCTTCCTTTCCTGAGTCTATTTTAATCTTATATACAAAAAGTCAGAATTTATATTAAAATGGAATTGGGTAGAGGGAAGCACAATTTCAGTTACAAGAATACTCCTTATTTTATTTTTTTAATACTTATAAAGAATAGAGAGATTTTTTTTCCCCCACTATGATTTACCCTTAAATTAATCTTATGGGGTAGCATATCAAAGACTCTTCCTAGAGCTGAAGTTATTTGCTGCTAGCAGTAATAAGCTTTATATTTAAAGAGGTTGATGAGATACAACTTTCAGCTTCGAGGATGCCATTTAGGACAGCATTTTTTTATATTGTAAAAATAATTGCTTAAAAGAGTTAATTCACAAAGTTTGTTATTAAAGCATAGTGTAAAAACACCCTGATGGTAAAAGTAAGATGCTGGCCTATAGTCACGTTGCAGTCCTCTAAAGACACTCACATTCCTAGATTTCTACAAGGACAGGAGAGACATCTCCAAGATTGTTAGAATCCATTTATTTTGTGATACTCTAAAGATTCTAACTTTCTACAACATACATTGTACCTCCAGTATTGATTAAGAATGTATTCCTTTAGAAAAGAACTTCTGTAGTGTATGCAGTGTTTACCTGTCTGTACATACCCATTGTGGAGGGAATGGATGACTTTTCTTCCTTAGTCTTCCCTACTTTTGTAATACCCACATTGTATGTGTGTGTATGTGGGTTTGGTAAGTAACAGTACACTCTCTCTTCACCTTGTACTCAATGAAGTGATGAATTTCATTTCTACTCTTAATCCGCTTTTGTAACTGCCACCCAAAATCTGTTCTGCACACATTACAGTAGACTCAACTATGTGTTTTTGTAGAACTGCTCTGCACAGTCCCATAGTCATGAGCCCCTCCAGTGGCTGTTAGGAGGGGCTCATGGCTACTGGAGTTACAATTTTTTATAACTTAAAATTGTGGTGGTTCTGATTTGTGATGTACTTTAAGAGTAAAATACAAACTGAATTTTGAATACTTAGTATGAAGAAAGGATATGAAATGCCTCAATGATCTTTTACATTTATTATAGTTTAAAATGATAATATTTTGGATATGGGCATATGTGAAATACATTATTCAAATTAATTTCACCTATTTCTTTGACTTTCCTTAATGTGGTTTCTAGAAAATTTTAGATACGTGGCTCACTTTATGTTTCTGTTGGACAGTACTACTCTAGAGTGTATAAAACTAATCATTATGCAGGCAACCACATTTCTAGCTCTGTGTAATAGATAATTTTACTCTAGACTTTATTCCTTAAGATTCCTTGGTCTACATTACATGTAGTTACTAGCTTGCCATGGGCCAGGGCTGTGCCTATGTTTGACTTGGTAATAGAATACAAAATATTTGTTAGTCCACTGTAGTCACAAAAAAATAAAAAATAAATAAAGTATTTGTTAGATAAACTTTTCTATGTATAGATTCAATAAGCATCTTTACAATGTCATTCCTAGTACCATTCTAAAAAAGATTTAGCATATCAGGATGAATTAAACCATTGCCTTTGTTGTAGAATTTTTGCATTTAGCATTTTAAAAATAATAATCTTAACATTATGAGGGTTATATTACTTTATGGGTCTTTTCCTATGAGCTTTGTAAATGAATGAATGTTACATATACAATAAATGTTAATGAGGAAAACCTAACTGTTTGGCTGCAGTAAACACTGAGTTACGATTTTACTGCTTTAACTGATAATACTAGATATTATATATGAATATTAGAATAAGAAACATTTTACTAATTCTATTTTATTACTGTTGAAAATATAGTTAACTTGTAATTCACATTACAGATATGACATGCTGTACTTGTTCTATTGCAAATTTTAGATGTATATAAAAGACAGCAAACTCCAGCTTAAATGAAATAGATCAAAACAGAGGTTATGTTTTAATCTCATATAATTTACCATAAATGCTACATGCAGCACACTTTAAAGTATTATTCAATTGTTTAATATAAAGCATTTCTTTTTAAAACCTAGATTTGAGTTTAAATAGTGAAAATTCTCAAAACTACATATTTTATTTTTTTTAGTTTCAAATATCACAATAAGATTATAGTTAACTTCTGGTTTGAATATGGTAGCCAAGGAATAAAATATTTGATCATTACAGAAATATTCTCTTGTAAAACATCAATTTGGTTTTAATTTTTAGGAAACCAGAATTCGGACAGTGGATAAGGATTCAAAAAAAATACTCCATAATTTCTCTGTCATCAACCCTGTTGCTGGACAAGCTGTAACTCAGATTTTTGCAGTTGACAATAGAGAAGATATTCAGAAGTGGATGGAAGCCTTTTGGCAGCATTTCTTTGATCTTAGTAAGTAGATATTTGGAGTTTTCTAGTACTATATATTCATGTAGCCTGAAACGTTGCACACAGCAATCTAAATATTAAAATTATAATCTTATAGTGCGTAGCAAGAATATTTTTATACTGTTGAAAAAATGTAGTATATCATAAATGTATTGATGATTTTTTTTTCTGAATCTCTTGATTAATAGCCTATTTAATTCCTAGTATCACTATTTCATACTTTAAGTTCTTTTGGTTGCTAAAACAACCTTATTGTCTCAAAATAATAGATTTTAACCACTTTGGGCAATGTGTTTGATCCAAGAGGTAAAAAGCCATTTGAGAAGCAAAAAACTTTTCTGGGGTAATGATGATCCTAAAATATTGAAATGTTCAGAAAGAGTCTCATTTTTATGTAACTTTCCATTAAGTCCAGATTTGTTATAATAACATCTTGAACATCATTCAGGGAGATTGTTTATAAACCACACACATATGGTTTGTTCATCTCATTAATACAGTCCAGTGACACAGATTATAAAAACAATGTGATAGAAATGTAATAGGGTTCAAGTGTATAAAATACATCAGGTTCTAATATTTAATTCTCAATTTAAGAAGGAATTTTACCAATGGGAAAATATATTATAGTTTTATTTGTTCTTTGTCATTACTGACAATAAATTTAACTACAATTTTATGCTGAAGATGTAGAACATTGCTGGTGGCTACTTTTGATCAAACTTAACCTACTGTTTGTAAAATTCAACCAGCATTTTGTGTCTGTAGGGTGCTATTCTATATAATTGCAAAGTAGAGCCACTACCAAACAATATAAAGTTATTTCTAGAAATAATCCTGGAAGTATTTAGGAATTCTGTTTATTTGGGACTCTACTGCAGTCTTTAGCTTAATTTTTCTAGGCCTACTTTGATTTACAGGCTCATCAAGTATTATAGAAATGGCTGGAGAGGAGGCAGGAAAGGGAACTACATTTACTGATTATTTCCTATATTCCAGATAAGTTCATTTATTTTTCATAACATCATTGTGAGGTAGAAGTTATCTCCTTCTGCTCTAAGAGTTAGCAAATACAGGCCTGAATAGTTTCTGGTTCATAGCACTGAACTAGAGGGATTCCTCCCATGACCTTCTTGGATTTGTTTTCCTTACGTAACATCCCTTGGCACTCTGAAAAATGTTTAAATGTTTGTTTCATGCTTATTAGCTTATACTATATTTAGTTAAAATTTTCAGCAGATTTTAGGTGAGTCATCTAAAAGACAGCAACTTCCTTTCTTTTGCTTATCATAGGTAGAAGTTTTACTGCTTTCTTAAATACTCTGATTTAGAGAGTGTACCTTACAAAAAAAATATTATTTTTAAAAGTGATTCTAGTAATTATAAATTTTATTTATGTAAAAGAAGGAGGAAGGGATAAATGAAGGTATAATGCCAGAATATTGTAGTGTGGATATCAGCTACTATTAAATGATGATCTCATGTTTGCATTCTCTAGATTATGTGAAATAATTTATCACACTGAAATGGGAAGTTAGAGGGATAAGAATCTCATGACCTTTTTATACTGCTAAAGTAATAGGAAAGTGATGACAGCTTGGTACTCAGGTCTGTTTACTTCTATTACATCTATACTTCAATATGAAGATTTGAAGCAAAGACAGACTTGTTTATACTACCTAAAACTTGATTTGTATAAAAGTTTTACTTTCCTAGTGACAAGTGTAGCCTCTTGTGAAGTTTGGTATATATGTATAATAAACTAGAGGATAGGTGTCTGAGACAGAATCAAGAATAATATTTGTAGCAAATTTCAATTCTTTGGTCCCACTTAGAGTAGAAAACCAAGAGGGCAAGGGAATTAATGAATAAACATTAATGGAAGTAGGTCTGTCTAGTCTGGGAAAGAACAGTCTAGGAATAGAGGTTTGGGGGACAAGAGGGTGGATAGCTATTTTTGATATTTGAGAGTAACAAATATGTAAAAGAAGAATAACATTTGTTCTCAGTGGTCAACAGAGGTAGAGCTAGGAATGGTGGTTCAAAGACACATGAAGTTAAAATAGATTTGGAAGATTTTTTTTCAAGTACTTAATGACATAACTATTGAGTTACATTGGCAGCTTGGCATAATATTTTTGACTAAGAACATTATAATAGTATTGTGGGAAATATCTTTAATATATAGGTTATTATGTGAATAAAATATATTTATTTAATATTTCATACTAGCCCTTTGTATTTGTGTTAGCATATTGGCTACCTTATATAACTATGCATATAGATTTATTCATTGGCAAAATGTTCCAATTTTGTAAAGTCTTGACCAGTGAACATACCACATTTGTACCTCTGACTTCAGTAACACATGGAATAATGTGGCATTATATTCCAATTTTCAACATGATTAGTATTCTGCTACTAGTTTAACAATGAAATGCTTTCATCTATCATTATGGAGAAAACACTGTACTATCATTCGTCTAAAACTGTGACAGAAATGTTTGTCAGTTTAAAGTGTTCATTATTTTTCCACTGGATAAGGGTTTTTTCCTGCCCCTAAGAAGAAAACTGGCTTTTATATATTTACCTAAAAGAGGAGGTAGAGGAGAGAGGAATAAGTTATCAGATCTCAGATCCTGTTAGATTTAAATTCTGGACAGTAACCTTTGAAGCCTGCTCAAGAATTTATTCCCTTTATATGTTGCTGTGTAGGTTATTTTGAAATTTTTACCATATTCTGTACTTAGCATCATAACAAAACATACTGAAAGTCTTTTTATGTTTCTTAACTAAGGTGATGAATTTAAAATACGTGCTTATATTACCATATTACTATGACAATATATTTGACTAAAAACAACAAAAATGAATATATAATTTGATTAAACATGAAATGTCTTTAATTTTAAAGCTATGGAAAGTAACCAAGTTTAATACTAAATATGGATATTGAGAACATGGAAGAGAAATGTCGATCATAAATCAGTCTAGAAAAGCACAAGTGTATTACGTTTACTTTACTACTATAAGATAGGCTGTAAGAATGTTGAACCTCGATAAATAACTTTTATAAATTTATGGATACATACTATCAAGCACAGTTGCTATCTAGCATGCAGTATATAGTGAATATGGAAAGGTTATATTTTGGGGTATCTATCAAGGAGAAATAAATCTGACTTTTTTTAAGGTTAAAATAGTATAAAATATAATTAAAAGTTAATAATGTCTCTGCTTTAAAATTTTAACTTAATAGTTAAAACATTTTATTCAAGAGTATTTTCTTTCTTATTCCAAATTCCAGATGGCTTTATTTAAAGTGTTCTCCCTAAAACAAATTAGAATTTTATTGAGTGATACGTAGTAATACATTTTTTAATATATCTTTTCTCAAATGAAAATACAGTGATTTTCTAGAATTAGATGATTTTGAAAAGCATGATAATTATTTTAAAGAAATATTTGATAAGCAGCCTTTATTCAAAGTTAAAGCTATTTTGAGAACCACCATTTCTTAGATTTTTTTTTCCTATTTCCTGATTGGTAACTATATTCCAGTTAATTTTTTATGTTTCAACTATCTTGAATTGCTGGATTTTTTAATTTACCACTTAAAAGAAGGGAACTTTTGCCATGAATACAAATTTTAAAGTAGTTATTGACCATCTAGTGAAATAGTATAGGAGTTAGTATCTTAGAGCTTTTAGCCTAATATCTGTGCCTAGAACTCTATTTTTAAAAGAGATTACTCCTATGCCTATGCCCAGAATTAGACTTTGAAATTATGGGTAGTAGTACTAGGTTTTTGTGCAAGCTCCCTTAAGGCAGTGCTTTATAAATTCACTGTTATTTTGCAAAGCAAAATGTGTTGATATCTATTCAAAATGAAATATATACCTTCATATTTCTATTTTAAACTAGCTTGCTTTTTTTCTGCCTTTCTTAGGCCAATGGAAGCATTGTTGTGAAGAACTTATGAAAATTGAGATTATGTCACCACGGAAACCACCTTTGTTCTTGACAAAAGAGGCGACCTCAGTCTACCATGATATGAGTAAGTGGGGTTTGTCTTTTCTAAGCTGCAGGATAACAAAAACAACATTGTCCATACTTGAGCAGCTTATTCTACTGACCTTAAAATGCTAAAATTTTCAGGGCACAACCAAAATGAATGAAAGGAGACTCTGATTATAGACTAAAGAACTCATGTTTAATAGATGAATTAATACAAGATTAATGAATAGACATTTTTTCATAGTTTGAATGCTTAAGATCAAACAAAATTTTAAGGCTTAAAATGAATAAAGTTGCAATGAAAATAAATATTAGCTGGTAACCAGTGAAAACCCTGAAAATATAAACTTGCAGATCCTATAATATAATTATATTCAATAATTTTTTTCTGTATTAAATTTATTTTTTAGTAGTGTTGATAAATGAATATTAATGAATGAAAGCTTTCATCTCTGGCCAAAAAAAATAAGTTTAATATGTTGGAAAATTTAAAGTTTCTAGACTCATTAATATTCCATTTTCCCACACTTTGAAGGGTATTTACTTATTTCTGTGGAATTATTTCAGAGAACAGTGTTGGGAACCAGTGCATACCAGGGCTAAATTCTTGTCTAATTTGCCACTAATGTACCTGCACTTATCTATAGTGTACTTTAAAACATTTGATTAAAAATGATACATTTGGGTTTATACATTTTTAAATACCAATAATTTATTTACTAGACCTTTATCTCTGTTTGCTTATTTTTCCCAAGGAAAATTTTACCCAAACCCTTACCACCAAAGTGATATGAGGGTTTTACTCTTACTTTCCTGGATTTTTAGTTTGGGGTTTTTTTCCCTTTTAATAGAGATTTTGCTGGTCTATAGGAAAGAATACTGTGATCCAAATACAAACATTCCAGTATACATATTAAGATTTGTAGAAAGGGAAACAACTCTTACCTAGAAGTCAGAATAAGGTTTTAAATCTAAGAAAGGTCATCTAATAAGTAATTAATCTATAGAATTTTTTAAAACACTCAACTCCAATCCTTTGAAAACTGGATTTTAGCAATATATTTAGGAATATATTATTATGTGCGTACGTATTCCTGCTGTGTATTTTATATGCACACCATTTGTTTCCTATCTATGTGTGTATTTGTGCATTTAATACAGTGCGTGATCTCCTTATGTTTGGGTTCTATTGGTAACATTATTTTTATAATAAACACTTTTTTGCTTATTTTATTTTAGCATATTAGTTTTGAAAATAATACACAAAGTACATGTTGCTTTTATTTTTTTTATGTATGTTTAAAAATTATTTCAGGCATTGATTCACCTTTGAAACTAGAAAGTTTAACTGATATAATACAAAAAAAAATTGAAGAGACAAATGGACAGTTCCTTATCAGTCCGCATGAAGAATCTTTACCACCTCCTTGGGCCACAATCTTTGATGGTAATCATCAAATGGTCATCCAGAAAAAGGTTTTGTCTCCTGCAGGCGAGCAGTTACATGATGGGAAAGGGAAAAAAAGACGAGCTCCCCTTCCCCCTTCTGATAAGCCTCCATTCAGCTTAAAAACACAGAGCAACACAAATCAATTTGTTAAGGACAACTGGGGAAAAACAAGTACATCTCAGACCTCACCTTTGGAAACCAAACTATCAACCCTAATGCATCACTTACAGAAACCAATGGCTGCTCCTCGAAAACTTCTTTCTGCCAGGAAAAACAGTTTAACTGATGGTGAGCACACAGACACTAAAACCAATTTTGAAGCCAAGCCAGTGCCAGCTCCAAGGCAGAAATCCATCAAAGACATTTTGGACCCTAGATCGTGGTTGCAGGCGCAAGTGTAGAAAACCCTTAATGTGTAAAACATGGAACAAAATTGATAACTGTGAGCCTTAATTCTGAGGCATTATACATATAGTAATATATAATTACATAGGTAATTATGATAGTGATTTACATCAATGATTAATAAGCTGTTAGATGTAGAAAAACATTTTATAATGAAGAAATGGATTTCTCTTTTACTTCTGATCTTCAGAATATACTGATTTCCCCAGCAGAGTGCAAGAGGCAGTTCCTAGACAATATCCTAATTGTTGGAAGGGTTAATTTATTCCTCAATTAGTACCAGGCAGTGAATAAGCATTAAGCAGAAGAAAGCATTAAAATTTCTTTTGGGGAGAGACTGTCTAGTAATTTAAAATGTGTTAACTATGAGCCATATTCTCATTGTGAGAATTTTAATACTAATGGAATGTTTCAAAGGTTTTATTCAAACCACAAATTACAAAATCCACCCAAGAAAATTTTCTTCTTAGCATTCTGGAATTCTCATCTAATGGTTCACTGGCTCTCATCTATTGTTTAACTCACTAGTTTATGGGCCTGACCTTTTAAATTCCTGGGATAAATTTTGGAATATTAAATTCTTCATGTTTAAAGGGAATTTTTAATCTGCTATTTTAAGTTGTTTCTGTGATGAGCCCTGAAATCCTGTTGACGTTAACTCTCATAAATGAAGCATAACTTTTATTAGATTAGAGAAATGCAATGGTAGATGAAATGTTCTTTACATCCAATTTTCTGTGTGTGGTGCTAATTTCCATTGTGACTTTGGAATTTGAGGAAGTGCGTAGCTGATTAACACTTTAAAATTCACTTAATACTTATTTAAAAAGCAGATGGGAGATTCAGAAATCGCAGAAAAGTTGGCCATGGTAATACTTTTCAGAATTAATCCCTTTTTTCCCAAAATTTTAATTGGATTTCCTTTTTCTAGTAAGGATTGATATCTGCTATTGATATCATTCATTAAAAGTCATTCTTATAATAATGACATTGGAATCATTTCCATAGGAGGTAATTTCCATAGCAGCTAATCATAGTGACCCAAACAGGATTATATAATAAAATCAAGTGAGGAATAAATGGCAATGGGAAGAATACCTTAAAGAAACAAAAAGAAAAAATTCATTTTTTATTTATAATGCTTTGTGTAAACATGAGCTGAATGGTTTTAAAAATCTGATCAGAATTTCCAAATAAAACAGTTTCCATAAGGTGTCAGCAATAGCACTAAAATCTCAAATCACATTGAACCCTGAATGTCATTGTAAGAAATAAAAATATAAGAATTAAATTACTGCCCTGTATATAATCTCTAGAGATCTTTTTAAAGCTACTAAGAACTCTATTTGGATCAGAACTACATTATTACAAAATAAAATGAACACTTGACCCAAAAAACATTAAATAGGACTTTTCATTATTTTTAGATAGCAGAGTCTTTTTCATTTATAGAGAATGATGTAACTGCCAGGTCACTTTTGTGTTAGCCTAGGACTCCTTGCGAGAATTGGAACTTGAGGGAATAATGATACAAAAGGTCTCTAGTGACTGGCAACACCAGGACAGACATGGTATTTGGTTAGAGGAAAACACTAGATGCTTGCCTGATGAAATTTAAAGATAATCACATGTGTCACATGTATGAAAAGCCTAAAAACCTGGATTAATTTATTTTTCCTAAAGAAGGCCTTCATAAATTTCTGTTGTGATTGCCCTTTCACTAAATGACATGTTAAAAATCTAAAGGATAGTATTGTTTGGATTTTTGTTTATTTTTTCAAACCTCACTGCTGTTTTTGACAGCGTTTATGACTGTCGTTGCCACTAAATTATTGAGCTAGAAGATGCTGCAGGCAAAATTGTTTCTGAAACTGGCATCTAAGCATTCTTTTTTTCCCTAGTTGATGCCTTTCTTTCCTACAAATCAGTATTAAAACTTCCAAGTTATATTCTTGTCATTTCTCCTCATGCAAATTATAGCAGGAAGAATTTAAATTGTACAGGAAAAAGAATTTATTCATACAGAAATTACCTAGCAGTTGTTCCCTCAGAGATCTGAAGCCATTTTCCCAGAACTATTTAAGTTAAGCCTGACCAAGGACCGCCCTTTTCCCCAAATTATTTAGTCTGTTTCTGGGAGCCCATCTTACATGAATGTTACACAAACCTTTGAAATCAGCTCAGAGTCTTCAGCTGTGCTTCTTTGGACCACTGTGCTCATGAAATGCTAATTTACCTTCCTCCCATATCCTATTAATATGATAGAAAATTGTTGTTTTTCTTTCTTCCTTTTCTGTTTCCTTCCTTATTTCTTTCTGTGTGTCTCTTCCCTTCTTTGCCTCTCCTGCTTTCTTCACAATTAAAAAACCTGAAAATACTTTTTGAGCTATTAAATAAAAAGATGTACAGGTATGTTTTCACATTTCTCAAATCAGAAGTTTATGACAGATAAATATGCCATGTAATATGAAAAATGTTTCCACTTTTTATGAGTTGGCTTTTACATTCCTTGTTTGTCCTTTTACTTTGTTTCTTGATATATGACGACTATAAACTGGAAACCAAGAGCTGTCAGATCTTGATAATACTATAATTGGGGAAACATAATGGAATAGATATTTTATGATTTTATGATAATTCTGATGATCTGAAATAATGTCTTAGAGACGTAGACAGTTACATTTACATTTCAAGCTCTCAGTTATTACTTACAATAGCATTAAGATAGTATTACTTTTAATTGCTACAAAGTGGTAAGTTTCTTATTTTAATATCTTTCAAGGACAAAGAAGGCATTGTTTTTATTATAAATGCACACCTCCTACGGTAAATAGTCTTTCAGAAATATCAGGCCTGCTGACTCTTGGTAAGTTTTGTTAAATCCTCTTAACTGTCTGCAGTGCCCCCTGACTTCTCTTAAATGGATGTGAATGTATGTGGAAAACTAAATCCATTTATTATAAATGCCTTATCTTTACCCTTTAGGATCCTACTAAATGCATTTTACCTGGTACTATTTATTAAAAATGGAAGCTGCCTTGAATTAGAGGCAACTCATGTAAGGTAGGTTAAGCAGTCAAATATTTCTTTAGGCTTATATTCAGCACCTTAGCCACCTACTGAGAAGTTAATTAATTCAGTCCAAAATGAAATTATAGGGCAGTTTGGTGCAGTTTATGTTAAATGCCATTTGAATGTAATCACCTGTTACAATGAATGAGGTACAGTCATACCAGAGAGAGAGATAGAGTGCTGCACCATGACCAAGAAGAGAAATGATTTTTCAGGAAAAATATCTCCCTGTGGTCCAAATTTATCAAAACTCACCGTCTTTTTAAAGAGTGAATTATTGAGCAGTAATTAAACTTTAACTGATAACCATTCATATTCACTGTTCTGTTAGTCTGAAACTATAATGTACATGGAGTTGACATTTTGCACCAACATTTCAAAGGCATCTCAATTTTTAAATGTCTATATGTTTATGTGTAACTGTTTCATGACTAATAGTGATAATATGAAAATTATTTATTTTGTAACTGGGCATTGTGACGGGCACCTATAGTCCCAACTACTCAGGAGCCTGAGGCAAGAGAATTGCTTGAGCCCAAGAGTTTGAGGTTGCTGTGAGCTATGATGCTGTGGCACTCTATAGAGGGCGGCAAAGTGAGACTGTCTCAAGGTAAAAAAAAAAAATTAAAAACTTATTTTGGATCTTGTGTGTTCTTAGTTAACCCTGGGAAAGATGTAACCTTTGGGTTTTTAAAAGATAAGATTTCTTTTTTTTTTTTAAAGATAAGATTTCATTTGGAAAATATGTATATTAGGATATGTTGTTTTCTGATGTATTTGTATAATTGACATTGTTTATAATTTTTATTTTTTAATTAAATGTGGGTCAGACTTCTAGATTAAAAAATATTATATCATGGACATACATATATTTTTAAGTACCAAAGGTATTTGGTAAGGAAGCCTAAGTCATATGATTAAAACTTCTGTACATGAAAAACGGATTCATGAAGTCATTTTCTAACTTTTTTCCTTAGGTTGTCCTTCTGAGCCAAACTGATAGAAGTAGACAGTGTGGTACCATCAGTTTAATCAGAGAAAGACATACCTATTAGCTGGTGCTAATTATTATAAAACTAACATTCTGATAGCCTTGGTATGATTAACATTAAAATGTTTACATATAATCTTTCTTAAAGTATAGTCTTTTAAAAATCTATTGATGTAAGCTTACTTTTCGTTTAGTGGTTCAGAATTTCCCCAGAGGTTAAGTCACTCTGATAATAAATTAAGTACGTAGGATATTCAGACACTGTTAGCCACAGGGAGATCCTTATTTTAACACACCTCCCTCAGTACTTAATTTATTCCCATAAAGTACCTCTGGGGAAAGGGAGAGAAATGAGCAATCTTGACTCATTTGTATTATTTCAACACTTTATTTCTAAATCCACAGTGATCAAAAATATTAATTTTTTTTAAAAATTCTTTTTTTTCTAAAGAGAGTGGCCTACTAATGAACATGCTTGGATAAAATACCTATAGGTTCAATTAACAATAAATAAAATATATTACAGAAATATTAACAAACATTTTTCTTTACCTGAGAAATGCCAATCCTGACATGTTTGATAATTAAGAAAGATCATCCCAGATATTACTAAAAATTGTGTTTTAAATTGCAACAGTTTGCTTTTGAGAGATGATCTCTTAATGTAACTACGAAAGGAGAGGTAGATTGAAAGGATCTTGTATATACATAATTATGCTGTCATAAGCTTGTTTCAAAATATCAAAATAAATTTTGTTGAAGAGAGATACTTTCCTGTGTCTTGTATCAATTTTTTTTTAATTTGGGGTTAATATGAGAATATTAGGTTACACTGTTTGTATTTGTAAGGTAACATCCGAGTTGTAGGTGAGTCCTTCACCAGAGAGTGTTCCATATACCTGTATATTATACTCATTAGATGGGAATTTACCA